AAATTAATATGGCATAAAAATCATGGCAACAGCAATCAGCGAGTACTTTAAATAAGGTGCAAAATCATTGTACCAGCTATCTATGCCCCTTTAGAGCAAGTATAATAACAGGTTGTAAGCTAGCTAAATGCTAATGTAGAAGAGAGAGAAGAGGAGAGGAAAGAGAAGCGGGCCGTAAGCTTATAGCGCCGGCTTAGGCACAGAACCAAGAAACTCTGTGAGATAGACAAATGAACCATTCATTAATAGTAAAGAGCTAACTATTATATGGGTGGGTTGAGAGAAGGCTACAAGGAACTTTACAGCTAGAAAGCCCGCTATATTATTAGCCTTGCTCTTATGTAGGGCAGATTGTAGCCAGCAGGGATGCGAATGCATAGTCCAAAAAAAATTAGCAAAAACATTTTTTTCCCGGACACTGAGACCAATGCCAAGCTACCAAGACGGTCGCCCAAGACACACGCGCTTGTGTGATTTGATCTAGACTTTTAACCCACAAACCTTTCATCTCGCATGATCCTTGTTGATTAAAATTTTGGGACAACATTTTAGCAACTAAATGACTTCAAGATATTATTGAATCGTAAATTCTCATATAGAGTTTGTCATCCAAATAGTTATGAATTTTAGAAACAAGTTGAATCCCAAATTACAAATATGAGAAGTCATTACTGGCATTATAACGACATGGCACAAAATAAACACATACTCCCTCCGTCCGGTAATATGCTAATGCGCTCAAGCATCAAAAAATTATGCCTAAATATAAGACGGGAATAAGAGATAGCTTTGCATTAAATATTAGTACAAATTTGATAGTATTATATCTCATTACTTGTCATTTATCAACTAATCTCCAATAATCACGCTAATAATAGTGTCTGATTAGCAATGTAGTAAGGGTATGTGTCTTTTGTATTTCTCTTCTTGTATCTTAAAATATCAAGAATACACTATATAACAAGATAGAGGAGGTATGTATATTTGCTTGCTTTTATTCGAGCAACTCTAGCAGTAGTCTTCAAATTAAGACCTCTACTTTTGATTGAATGTCTCATCTAGTTTTGAGGACTTGGGGGTTCATATTTTAGAAGGGCCTCAAATCAGGGTCCCTACTTTTATTTATCTCCCCTTGGACAAATAATCTATGCATTATATATATTTATTTGAAACTACATCAATTCAAGCAACAATATTAGTAGTTTATACAAATGACTAGTATTAAACTGGTGGGCGTAGCTCGAGTTCAGGGCTTAGCAGCCGCCATGTTCCCATATATAACGATAGGAATGATCAGGAACGTAGAGTGATACCTGTATGATACTTTTACAAGATTTTTGCACTGTGGGAACATAATGCTATTTTTACAAGATACTCTTACAGGAGTTCAGGAGAAATGCTATTTCACGATAATTAATTTCATCATAGCATGTGTGCCATGCCACTCGCCATGTCACCCGATATGTCAATTGTGACACGTTAATGATGATGTGGGCTCCCTATTCATCGTGTTGTGATGTTTTTGTTGACAATTAGAAGCATCATTTGTTTAGTGACGAAAGTGTCATACGACATTATTTTTCTTTGATTCGTCATAGAAAGGGTTTAGAGACCCACGTACCTATGACAACAGTATTTTCATCATGGGAAGCTCACGGTAGGCGTACTATGACCAAAGAAAAATCCTGTCTGTGACGTGTATGCCTTGTGGACAAAGAAAACATTCCAGGTTACTAGCTTAATCCAACAAGGCATGTCCTACTTATTATAAACTTTGTGCAGGTATGCTGGATGATATAGCCTTGATCTGAAAATCTGAAATTCAAGACCAAACAATTGAAGTCGTTTTATTTTCTCCCCCTTTTTTTTGAAACAAATTGTCTCCCCTTTTAACAAGAACTAAGCGAGCTTACCTCCACTTTTTCTGTACTGAGCTTTCAGGTCTCTGTGCGATGCGCAGTTGCATCATCATCATCATATAATAAGCCGTAGAGATGCGCATCCAGTTGAGCGCGCACACAGTGTCTCTGTGACGTGGACACATGTTTGTCTTAACATCAAGGGCAAATTTTTCTTTGTCATCCACTTGTCACACATCATCCGTTCTGCCGCCAGTACCCTTAATACTTTTATAATTAGTAGCAAAGACAAATGCAAATTGATCAGCATGTCCAATGCTTCCGACATACATTATATATCGCCCTGTTCGTTGCACAACTTCAGCAGTACTTTTTAGCGAACAAATAGTGTTTTTCTCTTACAATAAATCAGCATAAACATCAGCATAAGCCAAATTTCAGCGAAATGAACCGCCACCTGCTATCTAATATTCCTTTCAATATATAATAATGAAAAAGAGAGGACGACCGTGCATGCTCCATCGTTGAAACTACCATCCTTTGCAAGAGCTAGAAAATATCATGTCAATCGTCAATACCGCCATTAATGGAGGATAAACCACACCGTAATTACTAACGGAGAGTTAATAATAATTAAGGCTTATGGGAACATTTTAACCTTTGATTTTGTGATAAACTATCAATGAAAGAGGGTAAAAAGTATGACTTGATGCTGCAGGTCTACGTTTGTGCATTAGGAGAGTCAGACATGAAATAAAAATGAGACCAGATATTAGCTTCCTCGCGCTTCAGCAACACATGTTTCATACCAATTAGCTTGCAAATAACTTGGCCGGCAAGCCATGGAATATGGCGCCAGTCAACAACCACTCAAATTATGCCATTTATGCGTTGTTGGTTTGTGCATGGGATGGTCCACTATTTTCGGGCTCCATATTTTTTTTATGTAAAAGAATAGGATAATATGTTATTATCCTAGGCCACTATCCAGTAACTAGTATAAATTCGAGTGGAGTCATTCCATGAATATTCATGAGGTCACCATAGTGGTTTCGCCTCTCGGATAGCTCCAAGATGGCATCACCTGTTTAATATTTAGTCGCTTTCCGTCGATTATGACCTATACAGTTGATGACCCAGATATAAACTAAGTCAAAAATGCCAAACTCTTGGAGATGGATTGTTTTTTTACTTGGCATATAATTTTGGGAGTTGGCAAATCACAAGATTTGCCAAGTAAAATTTGACAAACTCTTAGAGATGCTCTAACTAGCTATTGATTCTATCCGAAAATATAAGGACCTTTTACTTCTTTGAGGAGGAATTTTTTAGTCAACCCTTAGTCAATGTCCTATGTTTGAGCGACCTGAGCATAATTTAGCTGGTTAGACTCTTGGTAGTGCATCCCGTCTACCTAGGTTTAAGTCCTCGACTTAATACGGGCGCTCATATTTTCCTGCATTTATTATAGGTTTTAATTGTAGTGACGTGAGCGTCGACAACGAGATGCCTATGGTGACTTCGTCAATCTCAAGATTATAGGTCCAACTCAGTTTTTCAGAGGTGCTCATAAAGGTAGGATGTGCCTGTCTGCATTAATAGAGGTGAGTGTGCGCCTATATATATAAACGTCTGCTTCTGTGCACTACTGGAATCTCGCATTTTTCTGTGTGTGCGAAAACACACAGAAAAATATGAATACCGTCAGAAAAATATTTTTCTGACGGTGTACTTTCAGAAAAATACCCACAGAAATATAATGACAGAAAAATTCAATTGTTCTGTGTGTTCGCCGTCAGAAACAATTTTTCTGTGGGTGTTACACGCACAGAAAAATTGCGTTCGCCCAGATTAAAACTAATTTTTCTGTGTGTTAATCCACACAGAAAAAAGAAATAAATGCACAGAAAAACACGTTTTTTCTGTCGGTCTAGGTGAACTCACAGAAAAAATCATTTCACCCAGATTAAAAAAATATATTTCTATGTAGCCAGCCTCACAGGAAAAAGAGTTAAACACACAAAAAAATTTATTTTAAAACAGTAGCAACAACATATTAAAATATATATTTTCCATACAGTACTTTCTGTGCATGACCAACAAGGTTTCATTCAAATAATACACAAATCAGTAGTTCATCATGAATGGAGTCAGCACTTATGTCAAAAATAGACGACGGCGGGCTGCCTCCGCCTGCCAGAGCCTGAGCCTGACCTCGGGGACAGGAGAAGGCCACCGAAGCTCTGCATTGCCAGCAGCAGCCCAGTCACAAGAAGCACGCACAATGTATTCTGAGTTCATTCAGGCTCACGTGATGTGATTTACCTCGGTCTGGGACTCCGTCAGGAGCGGGACGACGACAGAATAATTGTATACCTAAACAAAAGAATGTGCTATGTATTACTTCAAATGGATTAACTAGTTGCACAATACTATAGCTAATGCATCTTTTCTGTTTAGCAAGTGAAAATAAAAGAAATGCTTGAAAATTAAAGTACAAAAATATAAGGTTAAGATAATTATAAAGTATATTACGTTATGATTCACTATCTTATTTGATACCTCCTGCCGAAACATAGTAAAAGAAACAAGAGTCATAATCTAGTAAATTTATTGATCAATTCAACAGTTCATCCCAAATATATAAAAAAAAAGGACAATTTTCCTTAGCATACAGGTGATGAACTGTCAATAACTCAAAGAATAGAATGCATTTTAATCCTATAAAGAATACTCGGTACAGCTATGATACAAATCAGAGAGCATCCTATTGAAGTCAAATGTTAAGAGAATCACAATTTGAGGTGCTACGCCAATTAGCGATTTCACAAAAAAACATCCAAATTATTGCTAAGAAATAAGGGATTTCAGCGGGATAGGCATGTAGACACATAAGCATAGTAGTATTGTCAATCTAACATACTCTTGCAAGTGAATAAAATAAGTTTCTAAACAGGCCATTTGACATTGCTAACCACCTTGCAAGTGAATCATACATATTCAAATCAGATTGTTATATGGCAATAAAATAAGCTCATATTTATCAAGTGCAAGCAGTTGGTTCTTACTACTGATTTTACAGTTGGGGTCATCAAAAGTTGAGAAATCAAGTGCCAATCTCGACTCGAAAAGGTTGGAACAATGTCGAGCCAATTCAAAATCAGTAAGGTATGCACTAGTAGAAGTGTACAATCGATCATAGTGGCTCATCAATGACTAATATAAAGCAAGAACTAATAAGTAATAACATATAAAGCAAGATACAGATCATGGTATGTATACCACAAACTTTCTATATCAGTTGACTTCAGTTTATTAATTGGACAATTATAAACACTAGGAGCATGCTTTCCTCGATTCATATAATAAAGAAACCAAATGATCGTGCTAATCTGTCGGCACACTAGTGATCGAGAATGAAATCGAATCATTTGTAAGTTGTAACCTACCTCTAGCTGAGAACATCCATTGAGCAATTCCTCAGAGATCGAGAAATTTACCACCAGTCCCCTACGTGCACCAAGAGAGTTGAGAGAAAGTAGCAAACGGAACAAAATATCTTAAATTGTTATATCCACCTAAATGGAAATGAAAACTCACAAAATATTCCACTGATTGGGGAGGCCGGAGTAGTGGAGGTGGAGGCGGTACCAAAGCCAGCAGATCAAGATAATTCATGGGAAGTGCATGCTAAGGTGTAGGACAATTCCACTAATTGGGGCAATCGAGAAGCCAACAAAGCGAGGCAACCTGTGTCTGGACAACTAGCTGAAATGGATACTTGGGCTGATAAGGGTGCTAAAATGGATTCAGATGCAGGTGATGATAATTGGGAGAAGTCATCCAACACTCCCGAGGCATCAAATAAAAATCAGAAAATACATGGGACAAAAGAAAAGGAGATGGAGGTGATGGTGCACGGAGAAGAAGTCTGATGATGGCCATGGCAATTGGGAGCATCCCAAAGAATGGAATGGGCAGAGTTTGAATGTAGATCAGGACACGTGGGGAAATGTCGGGGGCAAAAAGAAGGCGTATGGTAACTCGCCAATGGGAATAACAAATGCAAGCACTTACAAACGGAAGAAGACAAATGCTGATCATGATTCCTCCTATAACAATGTGATGCCACCATCAGACAATGCTTGGAATGCTGGAGATGGAATTGGAAGACCAAATGCCAAGTCTAATGCAGGATCCAGTTGGGGTGAGAAAGATAAGATGGAGTCTGATGAGCATCTGAAAGTCCCAAAAGAATCAGACACATGGAATACAGGGAAATCAAATGAAAGTCCATGGGATAACACTGATGCACTACAGGATTCCTGGGTTAACAGTGCAACTCGCAATAACAACGCTCAGGATGGTTCATGGGACAAAGTAGTAGCTATAAACGACAAAAAAGATCAGCAAAAGAGATGGATTGAGGGACGGAGAAGATAGGAAGAACGGAAGGTGAGCTGGCCAACAAGACAAAGAACCTGCAGCCGCTGCCATCCCTGAGGGCATAGAGCAGGGAGGAAAGGGAAGGGAAGAGGCAGGGAGAAGTTGCGGGCAGCACCGCAGCAGCAGCGCATCTAAAGCGAGAGGCACAGAGATAAGCAGTGAATTTGTTACATTACAATTACAACTAACCCGTTGTCCTAGGTGCGTACTAGTAACTTCCTTAGTCCTTACCTCCGAGAAAGAGATAAGCAGTGAATCTATTACATTACAATTACAACTTACACAAATCAAATCATCACAGCATACATGGATAAGAACTATGGGATCATGAAAGGAACAAAATATATTATTGCCTATTCATCAAAAATAGCTACTGCCTACAGACAACTATAATCTATAGTAGGAAATAAAATATGTCTTTTGTTTCCCACACAAATATGTAGAAACAGCACACATAAAACAAAGCTAGTAATGACCACCACATACTATATTAGTGCAAAACATTACTAAAATTACCTGCAGCTAATAGAATGCTGCCAATAGAAGCTGAGACTCATCAGCCACAGTATCGCCCAAAAACTAAAACTGACAAGCCAAAAGTCACCAGCCAACCAAACAATACAAGCTTACCTATGATGGGAGCAGTTAATAAGAAATCGTAGAACTGAAACAATATTAGCCAAAAAAGACCTGTTTAGGTGCAGCTTGCTGAACCAACGATTGTCATCAGCCGTGACCATGTGGAAGTCCTCAATGTATATATGTAGATTGCACCCTGAAAAATATTAACAAATGCAATCAGTGCGTATCATGTAAAATCAAATCCGTGTGCTCCGTGGGAACCTGGTGGAAAGAAAATAAGCACAAAACCATGCATGTGTTCCAAAGAAAGGCAACAAATTGCATAGTGTGTAAACCTTAGAATCACAAAGTAAAAGAATTAAAGATGCAATCTGCGTACTAAATTAAAGATGCAATCTGCGTACTAAAAGTATGCAGCAAGAATGCTTGCAGGCAGGATTACTCTCTGCACAGGTTGGGGATTAACCTAAACTTCAGGAAAATTAAAAGGAACCTGCAAGCAAATGGTATCATCATGCTGAAAATTTTAAGTTGTTAAAATTATTGCCTGGAAAATTGAATTAACCTTTGAGCAATTGTACTTTATCTGCATCATCAATGGGAGATGCCGCCTATCAGAAGGTACATCAATTTTAGGTGGCAGTGCCTTTATCACCAAAAGGATGAGATCAACTATCTCTGCTTATTGCGTACATTTCATTTGGGAGTTCATACTGCCCAAAGGAATACTATCTTATAAATTATAGAAGCAAAAATATTGTTCCACTAAAATTTGGTTTCAGTTTTCATTCTGCTTTGTGCCCATGCCTTTGGCAGGTCAGAGGCCTTGGCCTTCTATTATTTGTCCTATCTTGGAATGTAATTGGTAGATGTAGAGGAGTATGGCTCAACTAACAGAAGTAAAGTACCTACAATTCACCTGTTGGTTTGACAGCGGATGCTATCTCTATTGAAAATGAAGATCTGTAAATTCACACAAAAACATCAAAGCTAGTAGTAGGCATAGATCCGAATACAAATAGCCAAAAAGCATAGGTTAGGGTTTGGACGCTCTGGTTTCGCATAGCAACAAAAGGGAACAGATGGGGGCATACTGGTGGGGCGTTCTTAGCCAAGAAGGTCCCAAGCGAGAGGACCTGGGCACCCGGCTTACGGTGGCGCGCTGCTCGCCCAGCCAGATCGTCGTCGTCAAGATGGGGATGCGGAGAAGCAAAGCGAGCGAGATGTCCCGACCTGTGCCCTCCACAACCTGGTCGCGGACGCAGCGGCGGAGACGCTGGACGACCACACAGTGGGGAGAAGCCGATGGGGAGGCTGGGGGATTCTCATAGCAGCCATTGCGGCGGCGGTGGAAATGGGGCGCAGGGCGGGGCAGGAGGGAGGCGGAGGGTGCAGGACTCGGCTGTTTTTTTTTACTTGGTCTAGCGAAGAGAGGTTTCGGAAGCAGCTGGGCTGGCGGCGTTCTGGGCGATCCGGGCGGCGCAGGGCAAGGAGGGGAGGGGCAGCGCTGGGAGAGGAGGGATGGCACGCCGGGCCGAAAGCGCCAAGACGGGAGGGGCTGCACCGAGGAGGAGCAGCGGTTGGTTGCAGAAAACGACATCGAACCGGGGCTGGGGTGGCTGGCGGCGGCCTGCGGGCGCCGGATCTGGAGATGGGGCGGCGGGCCTGGAGCTGTGAGACCTAGGAGCGATGGGAGTGTGGGCATGGTCTCGGGCGGGTGCGGCGCGCGTTTGGGATACGGATGGGTGGCCGCGTCTGGAGATAGGTTTAGGGTTTTTTTGCATGTATATAGTTTTTCTGTGCGTGTATATAGTTTTTCTGTGAGTTTTGAAAAGACCGACAGAATAATGTCAATTTTTCTGTGTGTATTGACACGCACAGAAAAATCACGCAATTTTTTCTGTGGGTTTTCGAATATTTCTGTCGGGATTTTTGAAACGCACAGAAAAATTACGAATTTTTCTGTGTGTATAGAGAAAAACGCACAGAAAAATTCATCACCCACAGAAATATTTGAGTTTCCAGTAGTGGTACCATATCTCGCAAAAAATATCCAGTGTTTGGCAAAGTTTATATGAAGAGTATTAACATTATTTAACTTATTGAAAGGTAAATTATGAAAAAATATTAAATGAGGTTCCTAACGATACTAGTTTGGTGTAAATATTATTGCATCTTTATACAAACTTAATACAATTTCACTTAGGATAACTCAAAATTCTTTATATTCCAAGATGGAAGGAGTATTTAATATTGCACAGCCAACATGGACCAGTTTGAGTAACTACCTCATTCTGAATAATAATGTGGTGTATCATTATTCATGAATTTATGCTATAAAATTATGTGGAGTGACTTAATTCATTATTAGCTTTAGCCTTTAGGAGGGATATCTAGATTCTTGTAGAAATATTTTCAATCCCGATTCTCTTAAGTCTCAACAAATATTTCAGTTGATAAATCAGAAATCACTTTATGAGACCGTTGGACTAGTAGGCTACATTCTACTTCAGAAAAAATATTTTTTTAAAGTATATAAATAAAAATATGTTAAAAAATCTATTTTTTTACACGAAGAACAATTTAAATGCAACATATTTTAACTTGTGTTGCAATAAAAAAGAACTAAAACTAAAAAATAAAATTGATAGTAGAAAAAGAAATATTCCCTCCATTGTAAATTATAAGTTGTTTTAGCTTTTTGGGATTCATACTTTTTATTATGCACTTTATGTAGTGTAAGTCTAAATATATACCAAAAGTATTGCAACTAAAAAAAATTCAAAACAGTCTTATATTTTGGAATAGAGAGAGGAGAGGAGAATTGGTACTAAACCACATCTAGTCAACTCACTCTAGTCAATTCAGGAGCCCATACAAAGAAATTGTGAAAGGTGTCTCAGCTCAAACAGTACGCTGTCTCCCTGCTCCACCTCAGCATTTAGCCGACTATAGGTCCTAACCTGTGGTGTGATTCTCGGAGAACCAGAACTGATTTCCAACCAAACGGCCTCGGTCTAAATTTCTGATATCCTATTTTTATTTATTAAAATTGTTGGTGTACTGTAACCAGACCGGCACAGTTCACACGAGTGCCCCTCATCACACGTCTCCTCAGCTCGCAGTGGCCAACTGGCCAAGCCGCCCGACAACAAAGCCAAACCTCTGTCGCAGGCTCGCAGAGCCAGACCAACCACCGCGCCCCGATGGAGAAGAGCGCCAGCAACGGGGTGGCGACGGCTGTCCCGGCCCCGTGGAACTTCGCGCCAAACGAGACCCTCCTGGGCCTGACGGCGCTCTTGGTGCGCGCCGTGCTGGCCAGGGTCAAGGCCGGGATGGTAGAGGCCGACGGCGGCGGCGGGCGGCCCGTGGTCCCGATGGGCCACGGCGACCCGTCGGCGTTCCCGTGCTTCCGGACGGCAATGGAGGCCGTGGACGCTGTCGCCGGCGCGCTCCAGTCCGGGGAGTACAACTCCTACTCAGTGGCAAATCTAGGATTTTGTCTCAGGGTATGTCGCCAAAAAATTTTCATATACAATTCGGTAAATTTATTTCAGCAATTCAGTAATAATTGTAAAATTGACAACATGATTCGGTATATATGCACTAAATAACACAATAAGGCTTAAACTCATGGATTAAGTTTAAACCATCCATAAAGTATAGTATAAATAGTTGAAAAGCCATATCAATATTTAAAATAAGGCATAAAAGAGAAGCAGAGACTTACAATGTTATTTTTGTGACTATTTTATTCGACGCTTTTGAAGGGACATAAATGTATTGATTATATCATCTTCATCAACTTCAAAGAAAATATCCCGCTCAATGAAAGTGACTAGACAGTCATCCAGAAGACTATCTCCCATCTTATTTCTTAACTTTGTTTTCACAAAAACCATTGCAGAAAATACCCTTTCAACACTTGCCGTTGCCACAGGTACAAGCAATACCAATTTGAGGAGCTCATAAACCATATCGTACACTTTGTGCCTCTTTGTTTCAACAAGCTTAACTGAGAGATCAACAATATTGTCTAGACCTTTGAAGTTATCATCATGTCTCATATCATCAATATAATTATCTAGCTGCAACTCAAGTTTGAGCAAATTATTATTTGAGAACTCTTTTGGGTAGAACTCAGCTAGTCTACGTAGCTTCTGTGCATCAAAAGAAGCAAATGCCTTGGAAGGACTGAAGGCCGACATACAAGACAACAACTCCATATTAATCTCATCAAACCGATTATCAAGTTCTTGACTTATTTGATCAATGACACCAATATATACTTCTCTTCTAAAGTGGTCATCATTGGTTTGCTTTTGGGCACGAGCTTTCCTTGCTGATTTTCCATAAGGAACATAATCACCATCCATAGCAGGAACTTCAACACCATGTTTATCGCAAAATGAAGTGACCTTCTCAAGAAAATTATCCCAACCATCAGACCTCAATTTTTGCATTCTTTTCTTTGCCACATTAACAAGTGATATTGCATTAAGAATATCTTGGTCCCTTCTTTGCAAACACTCAGATAACTCATTTGTATATCAAGAATAATATACATTAAGTGTGCAAAGAAAACAAACTCAAAATTCTCAAAAGCTCCGGTCACAAAATGTATTTTGGTCCAATCATCCTTATATGCAGGATCATCCCCAAGATCAACCAGTACATCATGGATTGCTTCATACATAGTAATGATGTTGCATACAGTTTTGTAATGAGATCCCCATCGAGTATCTCCAGGCCTAGGCAAACCCATCTCTTGATGTAATCTAGTTTCATATTCAATTTCACCACAGTCAAGTGCTTTCTTGACATTCTCAAGCCTAGCATTTCTAAGCATGTCATGATGCTTACAGGAAACTCTAACAATATTCAACAACATAGATATTTGATAAAAAAAAGTCTTGCAATCAGTATTTCCCTTGGCAACAGCAACAAGAACCAATTAGAGTTGATGAGCAAAACAATGAATATAATAAGCAGAAGGTGATTCTTGCATGATCAATGTTTTCAACCCTTTAATATCTCCTTTCATGTTGCTAGCCCCATCATATCCTTGACCACGGATTTGAGTCATAGTCAAGCCATGACTAACAAGTAAAGCTTCAATTGCATCCTTAAGTGATAAAGTACACATGAATTTTTTTAAAAAGCCCAAGAACAAAGATTGAATCTCACCAGAATAATTGTAATCACAAATTCGCCTAGACGCCGCCTTATCACGGTGTAGACTATTAGATCGAGTAGGAGAGCGAAGGAGAAGCAGCAGCAGGATCGTCCGTCCTACGTACGATGACCGAGGATTGAGATGAGCCACGCAGGACAGCAGGGAATGTACGCACGTAGAGATGGGTCTTAGTGTTCTGAATGTTCATCATCCGCCGCCTCCTGCTCCAGGACTGCAGGACACGCGGCGCAGCCGCCCGGCGGGGAACAAGCAGGCTGGGCGAGGCGAACAAGCAGTCGACTGGATCCGCAGCCTGTGCGCCGCCGCCAAGGACCGAAGGACGTGTTCATGCGGCACAGCGGCAGCCCAACCTCGTGGACCTGGATGACATGTGCCTTCTTTGCTGTGACGTGCGCCTTCATGCGTGGGCCGCGTGGGGTGCCTGTGCCTCAAGTGGGCCTTTCGTGGAATCGTGGTGGCGTGATGCATTCAGGTAAGTTTTTTTTCTTTTACATAAATACAAATACAAATACCGTATACAATATATAATAGTATATTTATCCGTTGCCGCAGGGTATGCCAGTGCATACCTGGCATACCCTGTGTCTCCGCCACTGCTCCTACTCCACTTGCGTTCGGCCTTGAGCCCGCACAGAGGTGAGGTGACTTCTTGGCAGATGCCCCTATTGCTTCCTGTGCTTTGGTTATTTCTATCTAGATTCAAATCCGACTGCTTGATGCTGAAATAATAACGATGTGTATACTACTATATACTGGTGCTGGCATTTCGCAGTCGAAATTTTTCATTTTTCATTGTGGTGAATGGTATTTCATTGTGTTAACTGCTCTAGTTAACACAGACTAACAGGTGAATAACTACTGGACTGGTAATGTGGAAAGGCCCTTTGACTTCCACACCTTATTTCAGAAAAGAGACTGTACACCGTTAATTCAGTATTTCTGGAGTCAGCCTGATTTTAATAGCCAGTTCTAGTTAACACAGTCTGTGCTCTGTTTGGGAATCACTGAACCTTACATCTGCCGGTTAGCCAGAATTGTCTTTGCCAACTTGCTGTGAAAGCAAATAGGTGACTGGTGCTGTGGAAAGACTCCTCCCCCCCCCCCCCCGGAGTCAGCATGATTTCAATTCAATAGTCAGTTCTAGTTAACACAGTCTATGCTCTGTTTGGGATCACTGAACCTTACATCTGCCAATATTGTCTTGGCCAACTTGCTGTGATAGCAAACAGTCACGGGGTACGAATGATACAATATACCAAAAAAACAAACAAGTGAATAACTATTTGACTGATGCTAGGGAAAGGTTGTTTGCCTCCCCACTTTTTCAGAAAAAAAGATTCGTACACCATTAATTCATTATTGCTGGAGTCAACATGCTCTGTTTGGGAATCACTGAGCATTGTGTCTGGTGTCTGCCAATATTGTCTCTGTGAACTTTATGTGATACCGACTAACATCAACAATACAAGGGCAAATATTACTTTGCACCTTGGTTCATGTTCCAACTATAAGATTCACTTCCTTAGATTGTGATGAGCCATAACATTTTTCATTTCATGTTTCTGTAAAAAAAATTTGGTTATCCGATCAGTGCTACATGATTGTGTTCATAAAAAATAATAATGACTGAATCCTGCACCTATGCTACATGCTATTTGTTCAGTCTCTTGATGCCTAGGAGCTTGGACACTGAAATTTTCTCCCGACAGACCATGGTTATTTTCTTTGTACCACAAACTACACAGCACTTAATTTATTCCAATTAATAAGAATTCCATTTTACATCTATGTTCTCCACAACATTAAACATGTATAGTTACCTTACGGTGGCTTAAAACCTTAAATTTCAGGTCCATTGCTCAGTACTTATCCCGTGATTTGCCATATACATTGTCACCTGATGATGTCTACCTCACAAGTCGCTGTGCTCAAGCAATTGAGATAATCTGCTCTGTCTTAGCTCGTCCCGGTGCCAACATCTTGGTTCCAAGGCCTGGCTACTTGTTCTATGAGGCACACGCTGTTTTCAGTGTCATGGAAGCACGGTACTTCGATCTTCTACCTGAGAAAGACTGGGAGGTTGACATTGATGGCGTCCAAGCCCTTGCTGACAAGAATACTGTTGCTATGGTCATTGTCAACCCAGGAAACCCATGTGGCAATGTTTACACCTATGAGCACCTGGCCAAGGTAAGTTCTAATAAGCTACTTCTGGTTCTGCCTTTTGTAAATGGTTCTTGGGGAATAACTTGAATGCCTATTTGTGTCCATGATTTTCTAGGTTGCTGACACTGCTCGGAAGCTTGTAATATTTGTCATAGCAGATGAGGTTTACGCACACTTGACATTTGGAGAGAGGAAATTTGTGCCGATGGGTGTGTTTGGGGCTGTGGCTCCAGTGTTCACACTAGGGTCCATATCAAAGAAATGGGTGGTGCCTGGATGGCGGCTTGGATGGATAGTTACCAATGATCCTAATGGTGTATTTCAGATGACTAAGGTTCTTTACTTTTCATGATTTAACATTGGTTATGTGATAATCAGTGTTGGAAGTTCGTTTGTATTTCATATAACAAAATGGCCTGGGTACTGACATGGCTGATCATAGAAAACCTATTTTTCAGATTTTGGAGTTAAATGAAGGTACCATGCAAAATGCAGTGATATGATGCTTAGACATGTTTTTTCTTCTTTCAGGTAGTGGGCAGCATCAAGAGACCTTGATATCTCGTCTGATCCTCCAACATTTGTCCAGGTAACTATAACTGCATTGCGATTTCCCCGCAAGACTTGACACTGTGCATAGTAAAATATTGATTTGCATCAACTGAATCACAAAATTTTGTTTGTCAGGGAGCAATTCCAAACCTCCTGGACTACACAAAGGAGGAATTCTTCCAAAAAACCATCAAAATTATAAAAGAAAGTGCAGATATATGCTGGGAACAGTTGAAGGGCATCAATGCAATCACATGCCCAAGCAAACCAGAGGGATCCATGTTTGTAATGGTCTGTGAGTCAATATATATATACTCTTCCATGTTTCAGAACACCATGAGCGATTTGCTAACAATGTGTGAACTTCCCTTGACTTGCTACAGGTTAAACTGGATATATCTTGCCTGTCGGACATCAAAGATGACATGGACTTCTGCTGCCGGTTGGCAAAGGAAGAATTAGTGGTTGTTCTGCCAGGTATTGTTCTTCCGAATACATGATTCATTTCGGTCTATAGTTCTAGAATACAGATTGGTTCAAGACATTTTTCCATCCACCTTGAGATCACCTTTTTATTTGAGATGTAACCTGCGGGAAACTAATTGTCAGGATGTGCTGTGGGATACAAGGATTGGCTTCGGATCACCTTTGCAATTGATCCGTCTTCCCTCGAAGACGGGCTTCACAGGCTCAAGTCCTTCTGCTTGCGATACAAGAAGCCGACAAAGTGATAAGATAAACTCACTGGTCCCGTGCGACGACACCAGACAAACTGTTATGAACTTCTACCCAGATGTATGATATGTTGTATCATCTTCACTCGAAGATGATATATTTGATGCTCGACGTCCACAGTAATAAGCAATGGGCTCTTCTTCTCTGCCATCTGCTGTGTGTATGCACAACACGAATTTTAAGGGATCTGAAATGTACAAGACTCCTATTGCATGAATCCATCAAGTTTGGCCTAATAACTTTTGAAGTGAAATCACCACTTCCCTTGTACTTCCATGGTTCTAAATTATAAGTCGTTTTGGTTTTGTAGATACATAGTCTTTACTATGCATGTTAGATACGTAGTCTTTACTACGTATCTAGGCATAGCATATATCTAAATGCATAGTAAAAATTATTCACCTAGAAAAACAAAATGACTCACAATTTGCAATGCGGAGAATATATATTGTCCTTTGTGATTCACAATATGTACAAGCTGGAAGAAGAAGCAGGCATAAGAAGAGGATTGGCGAGTGCGGCAACAAAGACGGGGCCTGGCGAGTGCGGCAACAAAGACGGGGCCTCCTGTAGTGCACGATTAACGGCCCAACCCGTGTTACTTCGGGCTCAACTGATAGAACTGAAGGCTTCTCCAGCTGGAGGATTTTTTTATTTTTAATCTTTTTTATTCAATATTTTAATAATAATCACTTCTAAATTTTTTTTGTGGATCGGACCCTTTTAGTCGCGCCAGTTCCGCTGGCGCGACCAAATAACGTTGTCGCGCCATATGCATTGGCGTGACAACATCTGCCACGTTAGACGCCGTTTGCGACGTGGAAAACCTTGTCGCGCCACTCCCGCTGGCGTGACAGTATTGTTCTATCGCGCCACGGGGAGTGGCGTGACAAGACTGAAACTTTAAAAAATCATAACTATTTAATACGACGTCCGATGAAAATGAAATTTATATGAAAATTGTAGCACTCGACGAGATCAACAACTTTCTCGTTTTGATTTTTTTAATTTGAGGACCCTAAGATGCTCAAAAAATTAATATAAAATTTCAGGACCATAATAATCGCGTACTAGTGCTTGTCGCATTAGAAAAATAATATCCTTTTTTAATGTTATCAAATGAAGATACTTTTTACATCAAAATTATAGCTCTCAATTAGATCTAAAACTTTATAGTTTTTTGTTTTTACATTTGAGGTCGTTAAGATGCACGAAAAAATAATGTAAAATTTCAGCAGCTTAATAATCGCATACTAGCATTTGTCGCATTAGAAAAATAATATCGTTTTTGTATGATATCAAATGTAGATACATTTTATATCAAAGTTGTAGCTCTTAATAAGACCTACAAGTTTCATTCAAAAGTGTTTTTATGCGATATCAAATAAGAAATATATGATTTTTCTAAAGAGATAAGCTTTGAAACATGATAAACATGCTATTAAATTTTGTATTTTTTTTGGTGCCTTAACTATCTCAAATGAAAGATCTCAAAATTAAAAAGTTGTTGATCTCATAGTTAGCTACAACTTTAGTATAAAAAGTATCTTCATTTGACACCAAACATGAAAAAATATAAACGACAAGACTAGTGCATGATTATTAAGCTGCTGAAATTTTATATTATTTTTGTGCATCTTTAAGGACCTCAAATGTAAAACTAAAAACTATAAAGTTGTTAATCTAATTGAGAGCTACAACTTTGATGTAAAAAGTATCTTTATTTGACAACATACAAAAAAAATATTATTTTTCTAATGCGACAAGCACTAATACGCGATTATTATGGTCCTAAAATTGATATTAATTTTTTGAGCATCTTAGCCTCCTTAAATAAAAAAACTCAAAATTAGAAAGTTGTAGATCTCGTCGAGGGATACAATTTTCATATAAATTACATCTTCATCCTACGTCGTATTAAAGAGTTATGATTTTTCAAATTTTTCAGTCTTGTTACACCACTCTCGGTGTCGCGACTAAAAAATATTGTCACACCAGCGAAAGTGGCGTGACGAGGTTTTCCACGTCGAAAACGTCGTCCAACGTGGCACATCTTGTCGCGCCAACGCATGTGGCACGATAGCGTTATTTGGTCACGTCAGCCCCATTGGCGCGATCAAAAGGATTAGATCAGAATTTTTTTAAGCGATTATTATTATAATATTGAATAAAAAATGATTAAAATATAAAAATTCTCCCCATGGAACACGTGAGGAAGAGAAGAGATAGATGTATAGTTTCTGCGTGCAAAACATTCACCATGGACGTGCTACATAGGATAAAAAACGATGTAAAATATTGTTGTCATATGACGTTGCTGTGATTAGGATATGACATGGCAGTTTAATATGAAGATTTAAATCGTCACAAAATTTTTGACGGCCCAACAAAACCCGTTCTATTTTTAGCAAGCCCATTATTCTTTTCTGAATTAGGCCCAGTTCTTACGTGGGTCCAAACTACACATTTTAGGCTCATTCTTATACGGTCCACATCTATTTGACTCTATTTTTATATGGGCGCAGTCCATTTACAATCATTGCAGCCCACGGTATACATTGCAGCCCATTGAACAATCTACATCCCATTGCAAGCCAACAAAATTATCTTACAACCAGCAAGAAAATTGAAAAATAGGCACATTGAAAGGACTAAAATGCCGCCTAGAGGGGGGTGAATAGGCATTTGATAATTAACGTCTTTAAATGCAGAAACAATTAGAAAATGGAGTTTCCAAAATGGAAACTCCAAATTAAAAGTAATACCACCCCTCACAAGTTAACCAGAGAGTAAGCAAGGTATAAAGAATATATCTAGAAGCCACAACCCTACAACACAAGGTTAGAATAAAGATTAAATAATATTCAGCACTGAGCTCTAATACCGGACGTATCCGGTATACACGATTTCTGCAGAGTAGCCCTGAACTTGCTCCTTTCGATTTCTATCTTAAAGCCAAACTGCAGGTACCTACTAGAGATGACAGTATACAAAGAGAACCTGCACAAGAGCTGGAGCAACACAAATATCGAATGAAATACGAATTGAGACACGATATTTGTTTTACCGAAGTTCGGACTCGTTCGAGCCCTACTCTCCGTTGCGGGGGTTGTAGGCGACCTAGCGAAGGTCAGCCCTAGAGGTTATCATGAAGGTCACTCTAGCCGGAGTCTTTTCCAACTCATTTTCCTCCTTCCACTAGTTGATTCCGAGGCGGCGGAATCGACCGTTACAAACTTTTCGAGGCACACCACAATCTCTCGGGTGCTCTCCGGCGACGCCTAACCGTCTAGGATCGAAGAGTCCAAGAGTAACAAATGCAAATCACGAGATTAACAATATGCACAAGTGCTCAAGTGGTGGCTTGCTCTCTTTTTCAAATTCTCTCTTAACCCACAAATTGATTTTGCGATTTGGATCACACACTCACTAAGAGAGGGTTTGGGAGAGTTGGCAAAGCTCAAAAACGTGTATGTGTATCAGCAGAATCAGCAGCCTCCAAAGGTGGAAGCTTGGGGGTATTTATAGCCCCCTTGAAAAACTAGCCATTTTATAGCCGTTGCCATACCGGACACGTCCGGTATGACTTACATTGTCCCAACGGTAACTAAGTTACAGTGACAATGTGAGGCGTCGGAACTCCCGATGAATGTCGCAACTCTCGACCGTCAGAACTCCCGACACATGTTGGAACTCCCGACCCTCAGCATATTTGAAAACTAAGTAACTGAGTTGAAGTTTGTGAGGTGTCGGAACTCCCGACGCATGCCGGAACTTCTGACCATCGGAACTCCTGACTCAAGTCGAAACTCCCGACTTACGTCGGAACTCCCGACAAGCCAACCCGAGAACAACAAGAATTTTATCGTGACTGGACACATACCGGACACGTTCGGTATCACGTCCGGTATTGCCAGATCAACAAAACATAGATTAGCCATTTTGTCTCTCAAACACTCAAAACTCACATGGTTGGCTTGAGCACTTATGAAAACATTATCTATCACCATGATGCATCATTCTTAATAGTACGGCATTCCTATTAACTCAAATTTTAAAAGTATAACGAATTTAAACCTTTTGAGTTGATCTCTTTCAACCGAAGCCATGTATTCCAATCTTCATCAAATGAGGGTGCCAACATGTTGATATTGATCTTTTCACTTGAGCATAGCCATCTTGAGCACGTGACTTGATTCCATTCATTAAATTTGAATAATCCCAAATGTATCAAGTCACTTCCATCAAACACTCCAATAGTGATTTGATCCTCCACATTAACATAACCATCTTAGCTTGATTAGTACCTCAACTAAATGCAAGTACTTCTTTCTTCACCCTAGTTAGGTTCTTCGGCCGCCAAGCCGTCGCTTGCCCTTCACCCTTGCTTAGTACCTTAAAGCCTTTCCTTGCTATCTTCACCATCTCAAGCCATCAAGTCACATCTTATGTTGAATCATCCATTCATTTGTATTGTTATCTTTTTTATTTCAATTTAGCAAGCTTCAAATATGAGACCATTTCATATGCAATCCCTCATGTCTCATTAATTAATTCTTACAAGCTTGCTTTCACACAGTACATGAAAATCCCACAATAATTAAGCCTTTGCATGAATTCCATTTGTATTGTTGTCTTGTGCTTGAACTAGATTGTTTATACAACAACACATCATTTTGGCTTTCATTAAGTACCTGTGAAATAACTTATTACCTGTCCACACTTAGCAAACGGGTTAGACCTTTAATCACGTTGTCATTCAATCATCCAAAATCCACTAAAGGGCTTGATGCACTTTCACACATCCATTACGTAACTTAGCAAATCAAATCCATTCATAGTTACATGTCCAAATAATCAGCATCCAACTCTAGGTTATATATAATGTTTGTATTCATACAACTTAATATGAAAAGGTTATGACTTTCTCATCTAAAAGAAAGTGAGAGACCACCTGACATGTGGGCCCGCTCATATGTTAGTAAACCATTTTGAA